AAAAACAGGTAATCCTGGCAGGAAGAAAAGCTGTTTAAGTCCTTTCTTCTTTCCCTTTAAAGCCCTACAAAAGCTGTGACTTCTTCCATACGAGAGGCTGGAGACCTAAAGCTGAAAACTAGTATAACAGTTTACTGTATTAATTTACTGTCAACTATTGACAGTTCCTTCATTTCACACAAGGTTTAACCTTTGTTTAGTGACATCAATTTACAGTGTTTTATTTTTTTTTCCATGCAAATAAAAAATGTCTATAAAAGTCCAAGGAAAGCATAACCAATTACATGCAAAATTGTAACACATCTTATTTCTCAACAATTTGAACACATTAATTTACATCACATATGTACAAAGTATGTTTAAACGGAAATAAAAGCATTCTCTTGAATTAAATTATAGATTTCAGTATAAAAAAAAAAACTTTCTCTTTGTGGGGAGCTCTCTCAACTTCCAATCTCAAGCAACGGCTCTGGTTTCTGCAGTGCTCGCCATGGGGTGTGTCTTGAAGTAGAGAGGAGGGGTGTGTCTCGAAGTAGAGAGGAGGGGTGTAAGAAGGATGAATGTATGTAATCCCACACTGTAAACATTGAGGATTGCTGGCTCTTCTCAGAGATCAGGGCACTGAGACATCCAATCGCTGACCTCCACTAAGAGTGCACTCCAAGTTTATGATCCAGTACTGTGGTCTACCCTGCCATGACAGCTACTTCTTTTAATAGTCTTCGATTGGAGCTAACTCTGGCATGAGGTTCACAGATATATTTGTATACAACCTATCAACCAGTATTTTTGGCATGTATAATAAATTGTTCAACCCATCGATGTATTGACGCTCCTTAGAATACCTTAGTAATTTATACCTACAGTGTGAAAGGAGAAAAAGAAATAACAGAAATATGTTCAAAAATGGAAAGCTGATGTAAAATATAATTCTAGATTAACTTACAATTAAAGCTCTTTATAATTTCAAGTTTTTATGAATAATTAAAAATCTCTAAAACATTATTCTAAATTAGTATTTTTACTGGACCAAAAAAAAAAAAAGCCACCTAAAAAAATTATTTTGCACTCTTACAACTTAGACATCCCTGAAATAAAATGTGTTATTTTATGAAATGGAAACACTTTTAAAACAAATAGTTAACTTAATTCCTAAATATAACATATCTGGGTTCTTTAATATAATGTAAAAAATATGTGTGTATGTATAATTTCTTTTCAAAACAAGCACAAAAAGTGCTTTCCTTCCATAGAGAATATTCTCTTTGGCAAATTTTTAACCTGCTAAATGTTAATGTTAACTTCATACATTAAATACCTTTAAAATGTTGGTATCCAAAGATGACAAATAACTTACCTTCCTAAAAATTGAACTTCCCCTCGATGGTGATGAGGAATAGACTTGTACTTTCCTAGGTCTCCCTCTGGTCTGGTTACATTATATCCAGCATAATGAACTCTACAGTACAATATAAAAATGCATAAAAATACATTTTGTGAGTTCGATTTCAAAATAAAAAATATGCTGTAATGTGTACACTACCTTAATTTCAGAAGGTACTCTTAATGAAATAAGGAAAGAAATGCAAAATATGATTTAAGAACTTCAAARTTTTTCCATCCCAAAGAATTCTTTCTTGAAGCAAACAAATATGATTTACCTAATAAAAATGAAATTTAGAAATTCTATTATCAAGGAATTTGTACCTCAACATACCTGTTCCAAAGGTCATCATCTTCTCCTCCCCATCCCCAGAAGGCATTAGGAAAACCATTGATCTTTCTAAACTGTTCCACTGTCAGTCCACTTACACCACCAAAAAACTCTTTATATGGCAGACTAAAAAAGAAAGCAGAACACAGCATTCTATAAATGAAATCATAAGAGTTTATCACATGAGATCAAATTTTCAGTCTTTCATGTGTTTCACAAAATGTACCTGTATCTTCCAAATAAACAAATAGGCAGATGAAATTGTATTCTGGAAAATGTAAACTAATGAAATAAGAACATGTGTTATGTTAAACACCAAATAAAACATTTGTGGCAACTGAAATTCAACATTTAGTATCATTACTTTATATGATTCAAAACTGTGTTCAAAAAATGCATGATATTTTCACAAAAGCAAACTTGATTAAATACATTCATAACTGTCAATTCAATGTTACATCTTTCTAAACTAGTAACACTTTAAAAGTTAACTGAATTTATTAAAAATACATTATAAGTAAATAATTTATCATATAGAACAGCATAAATATAAATTTTAAAAAACTCTTCCAGAGATACCCCAAGACAGTAAGAACAACACTAACCCTAAAGACACTACCTCAGGAGACCCTACAAGGCCCCCACAAGAGCTCAGGGTGTCTTGAAATAATGCTGGTGGGAGTTCCACAGAGCCAATGTCCAAGCAGTGCTGTCTTCTCCATACCACTTGGACTGTTCTTGCCCAGCTAGTGGTTTGGAGAAAGCCAAAATCATTGAATCTAATATGTGTATGCTTACTGACATGTATAAATCAGCAAGCATATCAATTCTATTAGCTGTTCTGCTGGAGTGGAAATACACAATTGCATTACATACACAATGGGTAAAGATTTGAGAAAATGAGGGTAAAACAGAAAAACTAAAGGCAGAAAATGGAGCGACATTTTTGTAGTATTTATCTTAAACTATCCAAAGTAGGAGAGGTTCTAAATATGGAGGACCTAAGTTTTACATTCAGTAGGACCAGAGTGTGATCAGCACTGTGGGCAGGGATGCTGCCTCAGGCTTCTCTACAATGACTGCAGTCTATACATGTCCAGCCCAGGCCTGGACCTGCCACCACCTTCCCTATGCTACTTTTGAAGGGATAGGAATATTTTGTTTATCAGCAATTGATATTTTCAAGTATTAAAAAATAATTTAGAATTTTTAGCTTATATGACCTTTACGGTATTTTATAGTGAAAACAGTTATCCTGGAACCCATCTGATTCTAGCAGGCTAACCAAATTCAAGTTTCCCGAAGAGCCAAGAACCAGATCATCAACTCTGATGGCCTCTCCCAAGGTTACCCAGAACCTGAAATTCAGATATAGCACTAAGAAGGAAAAGGTGTTTCTAATGACAGTGGGAGGGAGAGAGGGAAATCTTTCTGTTCTGATGCCAATCCATGGGCTTGTGTCATTGAGACTTTGTGCCTCTCTTTATTCTGTAGGTCGGACACCAGCCAAAGCTATGATGCAGGCAATATCTTCCCTGCTCCAGGCAACAGACTTCTATTTTCTCCATTTTCATTAGCCAGTGAATATTATGATCTCTTTCTCAGATTAGACCTGGTTTCTTTGATGTCAATTTAAGTTACTCTCACAGCTCTGAAAAAATAACTTCACATTTTAAGGTATCTCCAATCAGAAAATGGAAAGATTTGTTTCTTATTATTAAAAAACTAGTCAAGAATCCGTGATTTAGGAAGAAGATACACTGCAGAAGAAAGAACTGTCACAAGAGGGAGGTGAAGCAGAGGCCAGCATGCCACACCTAAATGGGGCAGGCTCTGGGCATGTGTGATTCCACAGAACAGCCCTACAGACAGCTGTTCCAATGAAAGGGAAACCAATCTTCAGAGGTCCAGGTAACTAACCAAGTCCTGCAAGTCTGAGAACCTAAATTTAAATCTACATGTGCCTGACTGCTAGGCTCTCYTTTCCCCCACACAGCATTCAAACTTCTACATAAGGGAGGTGCCCAGATAGATGACAAACTACTCTACATCCTGGTTCCCTAAGACGACAGGCTGGAGTTAAAGATGTTATTCTCAAGCTCTCTGATTTAGGTGCCTAATGCTGCTACCATTTTAATGCAACAACTGATACAGGGAAGAGTGCACACTACTTACATATACATGTATTTATCCAGCTTTGCTGCAAAGTGACGAGGCATTTCACCACATCCATAATAGTTTCGGTCATTTTCAGGTAGATGATCCACATCATGGAAGATCACRCAGTCCCAGACATTGTCTTTCATGGCCTCCTTGAAGCCCACGTTGAAAAGCATTGCACGATTAAAAGGTTGTGTGCCAGTCTTGAAAGAGCAGAGAGAAAAGCAGAAATGTACTAAGGCTTTGTCATCTTTTTCCTATAGTTTTCTAATTTGTTGACTCGTAGGCAAATAACAATAATAATCAGGCCCCAACCAAATAGATAAGTCACGATCATACATCAGGATTTTTAAACAAAGCTAAGAGTCATGTTACAATGGAGATACATTCTGAGAAATGTATCATTAGATGATTTTATTGTTGTATGAATATTGCAGTGTACACACAGGAACCAAGCCAGCTATGATGTCACCAGGCATGTAACCTTAGGGACCATCCCTGTGACCTGCTGCTGACTGAAGGAGCACTACATAGTATATGACTTACAAGATTATTTTATACTTTGGTAACAACACTTAAATAACTGTTATGATCTAGCCTATTGGTTCAATGTCATATTTATAATATAATTTACATTTCTGCTTTACACCAAACATATTGAGTCACAGATTATGACCAAAAAAAACTTATGTTTTATTTTTTAGTGACACTTTCCATATGCCATCAATACTAAGGCAGGAAAGTGAAAGCAACTCAAAAGGCAGTAACCTTTCTCTTCTCCCTATATCAAAAGCCAGTGAGGTCAAACTCTGCATTACTAATGCTTACAATAGAACCAAGATCATTTTAGAGACAAAAACATCATAATGTACTACATAAACCCAGCTTCCTTTATTACAAACATTTTCCTTTATTAGAAAAAATAATAAAGTACATAGGCAAGAGTTTATTTTTTTTATTATTCTTACTTATATAAAAAAACAAGAGCATTTTAATGGATAAAATATAGAGATTTATTACACAAAACCCAACTTCGTATATTATGACCATTTTCCTTCACTTAGTAGTGAAAATATATTGAAATGTACTGGCAATAAAAAAAGGTATTATCAGCATCTAAAGAAAACTAGGGTGCATTTATTAATGTCTTAACATTTCTCAATTCTCCAAAATATAAAAAGAAGGTTACGACAGAAGTGAATGAGACATGAAAACAGAAAGRAGATCAGCAGAGTAAGTGAAGGAAACTGGGTGGAGAGAGGAAGGAAGGTTGTAAAGGRGGAGGTGCTGACAAACAGACACTGACCAAATTAAACTGTTAAATTGTGTGCATGTGCAAATATGTAACAACAAATTTCGCTGTTATATGTAATTATAATGTACCAAATAAAAAGGAAAATAAAGAAATAAAAGAATTGATCTTAATGACACACACTATTGCAGTGACTCGAGACTGGGAAATTACTCATTTTTAGTCCTGGTTCTTGCACCAACTTGAGGTCACAGAAATCACTGTATTGGGCCCTAGGTGCAGTGGTGCATACCTGTAATCCTGGTTCTGAGACAGAAGGATCAACAGTTCAAAGCCAGCCTCAGCAACCAAGCGAGGCCCTAAGCAACTCAATGAGCTGCTGTCTCTAAATAAGATATAAAAATGGGCTAGGATGTGGCTCAGTGGTTAAGCACCCCTGGGTTTAATCCCTGGTACAAAAAAAGAAAAAAAGAAAGAAAAGAAAAGAAAAGAAAAAGAAATCACTTTACTTCTTGAAGCCTCTTTTTCATCAGTGAAATGGAGAAAATAAAAGGGAGATAATTTATAACATTACTTGTACTGGTACCTCAACGTTGGCTTTAAACAATTTTCCTTCAAGATTTAAAATTTTGTTTTTATTAAATGTTGGCATAATACTTTAAAACRCTTATAATAAAAATAAGTTCTATGTTTAACCCATCTTCATCAGCCAAGAGTAATACATTTCAGTTCTTCTGGCTGTTTATTCTGGTATTCATCTCCATATTCTGAGGTAATGAGAAATGTGGCTATTTCTTGCCTTCTTACCATGGAGGTAGAGGAGGTAAACACCACAACTGCTGTCCCTCCCTCCAGTCTCCCACTACAGTTAGAGCACAATTTTTTGTTAAATCAAGAGTTTACTACTAATTAAAACAAAATAAAAAAATTGTAAGTTGAAAAAAAAGCTTACTTTATTAGAACTATGAAAATATTTCTTTGGTAATGAGTAAGTTGTTTTCTTTGTTAAGCTAAGATTAACTATTATTTTCTGTATAAAAGGCCCCATAGATATGCCCTACACTTATTAATAAGTGATGCAATCACAGAAACACATCAGATTATCTCTCAGCTCCTCTCTCTCTCCCAAGCTCAACTCTACTACCGTCATTTCTTGCTGGAAGTTGGACTAGGACCATGTGTGACTACCATCTGGGGCTTCTACTTCATGCCCTAGATCATGCACATCTTTTACTCGGTTTGCTTAATTTGCTGAGGCACAATGTATAGTAACTTTCTAAGTAAGAGAGCTTGGGCAGGGGGTAAAAATGTGTGTTTGTGTGTGTGTGCGTGTGTGTGTGTGTGTGTGTGTGTGTGTGTGTGTCTAGCCAAACAGTGATTGAAAATGACACTGTCTACCCTCACACCTGAGTTGGCATTTTGGGTAAAAACTTCTAAGTTGACAGCATGTGCAAGGTCCTAGGCTTAACCCCCAATATCACCCACAGCCCACCCCCAAAAAAAAGAAAGAAAGAAAAAAATTAGGTCAAAAATTACTTTGCCCTAGAATTTAAAAAGCATGACTCTATCATCTTTTAGCTGTCAGCATTGCGAATTGYGGATCAGTGGCAGTCTGTTCACCTAGCATGCATGAGGTACTGGGTTCAATCCTAAGCACCACATAAAAAAATAAAATAAAGATATTGTGTCTACCTATAACTAAAAATGAATTTAAAAAAAATTCCCACGTTTCTGATTGATTTGTCATTTTTCCTATAGAACCTTTTAAATATCTTCCTTTTCATTTTTATTCTAAAATTTCAAAATAACATGTTTCATAATGGATCTACACTTCATTCATAAGTGCRTGTGGGGTCTCTAAAATCTAGCTTTCACGTCAGGAAAATTTTCTTATATTTTTTTCTTTGATCACTTCCTTCTACTACCAAAAAAATTTCTTTCTGCTATAGTTTTTCCAGAATTCTGATCAGTGAGTGCATAATTATCTCSATCTATTACAAATCACAGCAAAACTTAGGGGCTTAAAAATGCCAGAGGCTATGGCTAGAGCTCARTGGTGGAATGCTTGCCTAACATRCATGAGGCCCTGGGTCCATCCCTCCAGCACAGGGTYGGGGGCCACAGTCATTTATTATGCTGACTGCTTCTCTAGAGAGAATTCTGGGAGCAGAGAAGAGAGCCGAATCTCTACTCCCAAGTGCTCAGGGATTCAGYGGGAAGACTTGACTCAGGCAGGAGGATCCACTTCTGAGGCGGCTCACTCACATGGCTGGCGCCAGGTTGCAGGCAGGTCATTTCTTCTTCAGATTATCTGAGCACCCTCATGACATAACAGCTGGCTTCTCCAAGAGCAAGTGATCCAAGACAGCAAGACACAAGCAGTGCTGTCTTTTATGACCTCCCCTCAAAACCCACTTCCACAGAATTTGGTTCCTCAAGCAATTCACTCTTACTCCCAGACCCTCTTAGAGGACAGTTATCCCCAAAATATACAGGTACTCTTAGGTCCTCCTCTTTTCTTACCTTTGGGTTCAATCTTAAGCATTATTTTATCTTCCAGCTGTTCTGTTCAAAGTTTTTGGTTTTTTTTATCACATCTTTTATCTTCAAAAATACTCTTACTCTGATTGTTCTTTATGATGTCCTGTTTTTGATTCAGATTATCTTTCACTATCTTTTCTTTAGTCTCTGTCGATTCTAACTATGAGTTGTGTTGACCCTCCCACCACCTTAAGGATCTTCTCTGATTACCTCTATTTTCCATGCTCCCTTTTATTGGTTGGTTTTGTCTCTATAGTGGAAGATTTCTTCAAAAACTGGGACCCTTGGCTGCCTAAYCATGTTGGAAACTAAGGCACTGCAAAACTAACAGAACTCTACTTATGTACCCAAGAATTGTTTGAAACCCCAACCCACTTGACCCACACCACATACACCCCTAAACCAAACTAAAACAATTAATCTCCACTGCCCTTCCTCCGGCATCCTTCACATCTGGTGCTCAGCAAACAGCAATGTCCTTCCCTGTGCAAGACAAAACCTGGGCATCATGTCTGACGGTCCATYGCTCACACTTCAKGTCTACCTTATCAGCAAATAATAACACTTTTAAACCAACACAGCCCAAACCTGACTGCTGCTCACCACTACCACAATAGCCCAAGTCATCATCATCTCTCCTACCTGGATGACTACTCMAGTTTTCTCACTCCTCTCCTTGTTTCTGCCCTGTCCCATTTGTAGCTTATTCTCTACACAACACCCAGTGTCTTTATTTAAAAACACTAGTWCAATCATGTCATTTCTTCACTCATAGCCCACGACATCTTTTACCTCACACAGAATAATTGAAGTCCTCACCCTGACCTGATTATTAAGCCCTTCCATAAGAGCTTTTCACCCACTTTTCTGACATCACTGGATGCTACGGTGACGCTGACCTCCCAGAGCMATCCACATGCTAAGCTTCCTCCAGCCCTTACCTGCTCCTTTACTTTGTATTATTCAGGATGCTCTGAGCTCACCTTCTCAAAACTCTCTAGAGAAGGACACACCTCTCCCTACTCTCCTGTGCTCTCCATCCACCTGAAACAAAATTATCTACTCTTTCCTCACCAACAGAATGGGACCTTATCTGGTGTGAGCACCGCAGTACCCTTTTTGTTGAATGAAAGAGAACGGGCTGCAGGGAGGTGACAGTGATGAGCTGCCCTGTTCCTCTGGAGACCTCCAAATATTAGATCTGGAATCTTCTTCATGGGCCTAATCTACTTCTCTGATGAAGTCACCACCACCCATGGCCTGCCCCAGTTGAAGGGTAGAGGAATTCCTACCCGACAGCTGGCCTCAAAGAGTTAAGACAGGGGAAAGACCTGAGGGTCCCTGGCATCAGCCTGCAGACTGACTTACCACTGTGTTTAGGCCCCACAACACAGCTGTGTCAACAGTCAGGAGCTGCTCCTAGTTTCTCCAGAGGATAAACTCCTCGTTTTGTATAGAATACAAGAGAGTAAACACCTAGCACTGAAAGCAAAGCCAAGAAACTGGGGATTCTCACTGTTTTGTAATCAGACTTCTAAACCATCTCCTCGCCACAGCCCAGGACTTCAGCCTATTTCTCAAGAGCAGAGGTTTGACTCCATTCTGGTCATACTCGCCCCCTACAGGAACCTGGTTCTCAACATTCTCTGCTTCTGGGGGAGCGGTCAGTTCCATCACCTACTCCCAATCTCTCTGCCCCTGTGGTTTAAAAGATTTTTTTTCTTTCACTTCCATTTTTGGAGTCTGGAAAAGAGAAGAGGTAAACCCATTCACAATCCTCCTTATTTAACTCAGGTTTCTGAGCTGCTCTTCAATTTCTTAGCACTTCTCCTGGGCATCCATCCAGCAAAAAAAAAAAAAAAAAATATTCTTCTACTTCATGCGTACATATGTGAAGATATTTCTAGTCAGAACCACACATTATCAAACATGTGGTCCTGAATTAATATTGATCAAGGCTGAGATTCAGGCTTAGCTTTGAAGGTAAAAGTATAGATCTTAGTTGTTTTGCAAAGATGTCTTCTTTGCATACACAAAATACACCAAGTAATGGATGAATATGCCTTGAAAAACACAAAGACATCTATGTTCTGTCCAAGTACATGATGGGGAATATAAAGTTAAAAAAAAGGGGGGGGGAACCTCACAATTGGTAATACTGACCTAGAAATCCACAACTAAGGCTGACAAAAAAGTAGCGGAAAATTCTGACTTTTTATCAAGAAGTTAAATTTTCATRGATGGGTTGTTACATTAAAAAGTACCCAGGGGGCTGGGGCTGTAGCTCAGTGATAGAGTGCTTACCTAGCATGTGAGAGGCACTGTCTTCATTTCTCAGCATTCAACATATATAAATAAAAAATAAATAAAGTTCTACCAACAACTAAAAAAAAAGTTTAAAAATTTAAAAAGTACCCAGACATGATATACAACATTATACACAAATGGAAGAAAACTTAAGGATGATTTCCATACACAAAAATATGTTACACTAAATACCAACTACTCCAGAGAAGAAAAGCAGAGGAAAAAAGTTGGGGAAGTCGGCGGGGAGGGGGGGAGCAGATCTGGAATCAACCAATAAAACACAAAGGAGATGGGCTGGGATTGTGGCTCAGCGGTAGAGCACTCGCTTAGCACGGGCGGGACTGGGGTTCGATCCTCAGTACCACATAAAAATAAAGGCATTGTGTTGTGTCCATCTACACCTAATAAATAAATAATTAAATATTTTTAAAAAAYACAAAGGAGGAAAAACTAACTTAGGAATAAAAATTTGAGTATCTGCTAWCAAAAAGAAAAAAATAGCAATATCACTAGACTACTTTGTCTATTATTCTATTATTTACCTATAGAAAAACAGGAAAATAAATCCTAGCAGGTCCCTTTAACAAGCAGATTCAAGAGAACCGAACAGAGAGATCAGAAAATAGACCTCACAGATGATACATGTATGTTAACTCATTTTCAACAAAGGTGCCAATGAGAAAAAGCTAATCTTTTCTAATAAACAGTGATAAAATAACTAAATAGCCATATATTAAAAAAATGGGGGTTGGGGATGTGGCTCAAGTGGTAGCACACTCGCCTAGCATGCATGAGGCACTGGGTTCGATTCTCAGCACCACATAAAAATAAAGATATTGTTTCCACCTAAAACTAAAAAATAAATATTAAAAAATGTATTACCATATATATGCCCTATATACCATATATAAAGATTAACTCAAAATGGAGTAGTTCTAATTCAAAAAGCTACAACTATAAACTTCAGGAAGAAAACACAGAAAATCTTAGAACACAATTTCACAAATACAAAACAAAAAGCATAAGTTATAAAAAAATTGAACTGGACTTCATCAAAATTAAAATCTTTTACTTTTCACAAGACACTGTCAAGAAAATAAAAGGCCAAGCCACAGACTAAAGATAAATAATTGCAAAACTTATGTCTTACAAAAGACAGTTGAAAACACAAGGAGTTCTTACAAACTCAATCAGAGGACAATCCAATTTTAAAATAGGCAAAGATTTAAAWAGAAACTTTCCAAGTAATATACCCAGATAACAAATAAGTATATGAAAAGGTGATCAACATCATGAGTCATGAGGGAAACACTAATTAAAACTTCAATAAGTTACTACTACAGGTACTCTAACGTGCCAAGTGCTGGCAATGACATAGAGCAATTCAAAAGGTCAGTGTACATGAATATAAATTCTGATGCATCACACACAGACGAGGTAACAATGTTAAAAGTGGTATAAGCTGGCAAAGAGACCTGGTCTTCAAGTGTTATCACACCTTTTTTTAGATTTTTGAAACATGATTTTATGCACATTTAAGAGGAACACAGATTAACTAAATTCTTTCATTATGCTTATAATTCACAGCCTTTAAACAAAGACACAGACTATAAAATCAGGTCAAGGTCATTTCAATTCTGTGTAAACCATGTTAAGGGAATATTATTTACTTAGCTTTAACAATATCTGTTGAAAACATTTGGAATAAACTTTTTTGGTTTTGCCATTATTTGCTAAATCCACTCTCTTCTGGTTATTTCTATTTCTAAAAGAATCATGGAACCTCTGAATTGGAAGTAATCCTGGGCATCACATGGTTTGGACCTCTATGCAATGTGTGGCTTTTTGACCTGTCAGTTCACTGGATGCCTATTTACTTGTCAGCTATTGAGATGTGTCTATCCACTGGAAAGGCTAGTGCTCTGCTGCTAACGCCAGGCTAAGCAAGGTTAGCAAATTAAATATGTATGGCTCCAACAGAGACAGACCAAATTCCTCTACCAGGAAAGATGACTTTCAAACAATACAAAAACASAACAGCAAATGTTCAATGTACACCACTTTTTTTTTTTTTTTAAGGATTAGTACCTGACTTTCATTCAGGTACCCTTGATTACCTAATAAAGTTGATTCATTATTAATTTTCAGGGTTAGCCAACAACTACTTCACAAAAATCACAATAAAAGAACTTATCCTTCATTTTCTATATTTAAATTYAGAAAGCAAAAATGCTCTTTCAAAATTAAATACTATGAATGCATCTCAGGTGATCCTAGAGTGCCTCAGTACAATGTGGAACAGGACTTCCAGTGTGCACCCACTGAGTCCAGAAGCAATACACAAGTTAAGCACTCATGAACAGTTTGCATCAAAAAATAAGCCATTTCTCAATTACGTGAAACTCCACAAAGTTTTCAGGAATAAACAAAAATTATAAACCTAATGAACACATAAAACTGGACAATAGTATGAGTCAAAGGAATATTCATCCTACAAAAATCAGCTATATAGTTATTTGAAAATAATGGTATGACAATACAATATTTATAATGTCATTAAAATATACCATAGCTATCATACTAAAGTCAAACATAACTGCTTGTCAATTCATCTGATCATGTTAAAATTATTACAAGAAAATTATAATAATTACAAGAGAAAAAAATCCAAAATATAATTTTATTTAACTATAAGACCAAATTATTTGCATTACCTCATTAATCATAGCTAAACATTTTTAATCAAGCCATATCTAAGAGTTTAAGTTTTGAAGAATATTAACATTTTGGCTATTTTGAAAAATATTCTCACCTGTTCAATGACATAAAAGGCAAATTCCAGGCGCTGTTTCTGAAGCATTGGAATCAGGTGTAAGAAAAAAATTGGAAGATGTTCATGGCGATTACGGAAAGGAATGAGAACTGCCACCTTTAAAACAAAAGAGTCACAATTGTAAATAAATACAGCAGCAAATCCTGGAGGTAAAGATAAAACAGATCCTTAAAATTTTCTGATAGCTGGGCTGGGGTTGTGGCTCAATGGTGGAGCACTCACCTAGCACATGAGAGGCCCTAGGTTTGATCCTCAGCCCCACAAAAAATAAATAAATAAATAAAATAAAGGTATTGTGTCTGACTACAACTAAAAAATAAATACTTAAAAAAAAATTCTGATGGCTTCAGACTCATACCCTCGTGAATGTTCTCACCAGACAGAAGAGTGAGCCCACACACTCACCTCATGCTACTTATGGTTTTAGRAAGCTGGGAGGTACAGATGGGCTCTAAAGCCATGTAAGAATTGTGGTCTCTGTCCTACAACATCACGGAAAATTATTGAAAGATTTTAAGAGGGTGAAAAATTCAATTTTGTCGTTACCAAGACTCCTGCAGTGGCAGTATAAGGAGCAGACTGGAGAAAACCAAAGCTGGACTCAGGGAGCCGGTTAGGAAATGAATGCAACAGCTGAGGCAAGAGGGAATGGCAGCTTGAACTAAGGTGAGGGAGGAGGAGAGGAGAGGTACGTGAGTTATCAAAACATTTAAGAGATAAATTAAGAGGATTCAGTTATGTTGCAYGTGAGGAGTGAAGGAACGGGGATGTGGCAAGAGTGACTTTGAGGTCTTCAAGTTCATAAACAAAAAAAATCTTGTGAAGGACATTATGTGAAGTGAAAAATGCCAGGCACAGAAGACAAAAATCTCATGCTCTCATATGTGGAGCCTGAAAATGTCGATCTCAAAGAAGAAAGAACAGTGGTTACTAAAAGTTAGGAAGTGCAGGGGGGGGAGGGATAGAGAGAGGTTAGAAAATGGGTACCAAGTACACTTAGATAAGAGGAAGGAGATTTATTGTTCTAGAGCGCAGTAGGATGACTACAGTTTGAAACAATCAATCATGTATTTTATGATGAACTGGGAAAAAGGAGTTTCTAGTCTCTAAATACTAARAAACGACAAACATATAAGGATATAGAAATGCTAATTATCCCGATTTGATCTTATGTATTGCATACATATTGAATCTTCACACCATACCCCATAAATATGTATAGTGCACTACAGAACTCAACCATATCTAATAGGACCACAAAATATACATTGAGTTTGACAATTACTATTTTCCACTTAATCAAAAGGCACAAATTAAGCTTTTGATATATTTGTAAATTTATTTTAGTGGTAGCATAAACAGTTTAAAATGCAATTGGCAACAAAATTATGTTAAAATGTTAAGCTTAACAAAAAGGATCTGACACCGTGTACAAAAAAGAAAGAAGTCTGTCCTGTATAAACCAAAGAAATTTGCGCTCACCCAAAAAGTAGAAGAAAAAAACATGCATATGAAAATCAGTCTTTCCTTTAATATGAAAAAAATGAGCTGGAGATTTAGCTTAGTGGTTGAATGCCTGCATATCATGAGCAAGGCTCTGGGCTGGAGCCCCAGGACTGSCAAAAAAAATTAAAAATAAAGTAAATTACTTGGAATCCATTAAAAAAAAGTCACCTACATAAAAGGTGTTAACTACTACATGAGAGAGTAAGTTAAAAATTATCAAACATCACTTACTCAAATCCTCTCTCTTGGACCCAACCTTTGTCATACAAGTTAAAAAGTTTTTTTCTTTTTTTACAATTCAGATTTCCCCCTTGAAAAAAAGCTAAAATGTTTTCTAAGTTACTTTCCTTAGCAATTTCTGAGCTAGGTTGTTTTTATTAAAATCTGTGAATTTTCTAATAAAATTTGGAATTAAAACAAATTTTCTACAGATTATAAATTCTGAAATTATTAGCTTTTCAAAGAATCTAACAGTAAATTATATGTAACTAAAATACCACAGTATCACTCTATATTCTGGATTTTTTAATACAATCTAAACTGATTATACTGGAAAATTATATAAGAACATTAAATCTAGAATTGATTAAAATTTTCCCATAACTAATTAAATTTTACTAATGAATGAACACATGAAAATAATTGAGAATTCCTAAGTTTACAGAACCCTACTTATAAARTCAGGGCAACATTAGATATCATCAATCAAAAATAGTAACATTGAGGCTGGGGGTATATAGCTCAAGGTAGAGAGAGTACATTCTTAGCATGTACTACAAGGCTCAGGGTTCAATCCCCAGCACCAAAAAGGAAAAAAGAAAAACCGTGATATTTATCCATCATTCTGTATTATCAGAATCATAAATGGGACAAAATTCTAAAAAAAGGATCAGGGCTGCTTGGACACTAATGTTCTCTTGTTTATATGATTTTTTATTGGGTAGGTGGTAGGAACTAAAAAGATTCTAATATTTGGGCCTGGGGATGTGGCTCAAGCGGTAGCGCGCTCGCCTGGCATGCGTGCGGCCCGGGTTCGATCCTCAGCACCACATACAAAGATGTTGTGTCCACCGAAAACTGAAAAATAAATATTAAAAAAATTCTCTCTCTCTCTAAAAAAAAAAAAACAAAAGGATTCTAATATATGTCCCTGCCAGCACTATTGTGGTTCCCACTACTATTATTTATCCAATTATGTATATCTTAGCTCAGGAGCCTATGGACCTTGAGAGACTGCCACAGCAATACTGGCCCAATATCCAAGACACCCGTTCTGTCCCCTCTGTATGGCTGCCTGGACTTGCTAATGTGCTTAAGTGTAGTTGGAATACTCAAGGGATTCCTAAATCAGTTCAGGGGCCACTCTTAATACAGGAAATGATTAGTAAAATAAGGGAAGAGCTTGCCCTTCCTGATTTTGTTCTTGGCCACAAGTTGGCTGCCTACGACATAATGTGAATGGGCTATAAAAGTGCTTAAGGCAAATTATAGCTATTGAAAGGAAGCTACCAAATGGCCACAGTCTATATTAATTAAATACAATTAGGCTAACTGGTAAGTTGAACATAAGGATCAACAAAGGCAAAGTTGTAATCCTTAATACAGTAAATTCCTCAATGAAGCACTTAAAGTACCAAGAACTCTTTTTTTTTTTTTTTTTTAAATCTTAGAAGTTAACTGAGATAGAGAAAGAAATTACAAATGTCTTGGCAAATTCAAATAAGCTAAATTGATATTTAATAGCAAATAAATGTCCAAATTGTAATGAGATGCCAAAGACTATAAACAATATGCCTAAAGCTAAGATTTTTTTTATTAAAATAAAGCCAGATAGTATCTTAAAAATTCATTTGGCATGCCCCTTGTAGCTGTGCAATGACATTCTCAATAGTTTACAAATTCATTATCTAGAAAAAGACCTCAGTGTTCTGGGATCATTTATTTTAAGGTTTAATAGCCTTTCTTTCAGGACATTSATCCTTCTCTGTGCCCTAATTTGCTGTGTGAGCCATTCTGTTGATACAAACCCAGCGGAGGCAGAGAACATCTGGTCATTGTCTTCTGTAAGAACATCATTTCATCCTCCCAAATCTTTCCACACCACCTCTTRTTCAAGCATGATTGATTATCCCATTCAGTTTGTTCCCACCTTCAAACCACTAATCTTACTGAATTTATGCACTGATTTTATTCTTTCTTATTTTCTCCCAAACATGCTATGAAGAGGTAAGAAAGSTGTCTACCACATAAATTTCTTCCACCAAGTTTTTGTCCCACTTTCAAAACTTAAAGCACATGACCAGCTATGTGCCCTTAAACAACGTGGTTTTAGATGAGGTTAGTTTAGGGCACATCTAGCTATTTGCCACTGCGTTAGACTAGAGAAAGGGATACCCTCATTCTCCTGTGGTATTTTCAGTTCTGCCTGCCTCTTCCTCCTTGTTTCTAATACCTACAGGAACAGTTCCCAAACTGGTAGCACTTGATTTTAAAATGCAGGTTCTTGCCACTACTAGAGTCAGAGTATCTCAGGACTAAGTTCAAGAACCTGCATTTTTACTGAATGCCTTGGGGAGTTCTGAAACAGATGGCTTGGAACCATCCTTAAGGGACCTTGGACTAAAAGTTATATTCCTGGTCTCTGTATAGGTAAGCAGCACCAAACAGTTATCTGGTTCTTTATGCCTGTGTTATAAAATTTAAAATCTATCTGGTATGGACCACAGGCAAAAGGACAATAAATCTCAAGTTTTCCAATCCCCAATTATCACACTAATATGATATACAGTGCCCACCAGAAGGGTACATTATAAATCTTATTCATGTCTCAACATCAACCCTCATGGCATTCCATGTCCTTGATAATTGGGTGTTTTTTATTCCATTAGCATTCAATATATACACTCATGACTCAAGTAATAAAAACATTTTTTTTTTTTGCCTAGAACATTTTAAAAAAGTGGAATGTATGTAAATTAGGCTACATTTCATACAGTCAATGAATCTGATCTTGGAATATGGCATGAGGCAATTATAAAAATAGAATACTTTGCAAAAAAATTGTACTGAAATCCATTTAATCAGATTCACAACTTGTTTGAGGCAATGAGAAAGGTGAGCATTTATTTAATCACTTGTAGCAAAGCCAGAGAGGCATTTATTAGTCTCATGAAGTCAATGCAATAAAACTGTTTCGCTTCTACCTTGTACAAAACAATATGGTCTGCATTAGGGATGCAGATATAAATTTTATGCATTCCTAGACACAAAGAGTTCAAGGTCAATGAAGGCAGAGGATCTTTTTCATGAGTTTAACAACAAATAATTCTATCAATACCAGTGACTTTTGGGGGGCAGGGGTGGGGGGTAGGGACTAACATTCAAATGTTAGAATTCTAATATACAACCAGATATATGAAAAATTGTGCTATATATGTGTARTAAGAATTGTAATGCAAAAATAAAGAATACGAATAACAATAAATGTTGGCAAGGATGTTGGGGGGGAAATAAATAAAACTTGCTTTCTGAAAAAAAAAATGTTAGAATTCTATTAATATTTTAAAAGAGAAGCTGAAAACTATTCCCAGACTAAGGTTATAGCACATTCTTTTAGGATATAATTTGACTTAATAACCTGTAGTTCTCCTATGAATTACACAAGTGCCATTTCCTACTGAAACATAACAACAATTTCACAGTATTGAGAGAAATTCTAAATCAGGGTTTTCAAAAGTTTTAAGAGCAGAAGAGGCAGACCTATCCCCTTACAGATTTTCAAACAAAACATTAAATAGAATTCTGACATATCAAAAAACCAAATGCTTGTTCTCTATCTTCTGAAACAAGTGAAGAGCCCAATGTCCTCCCTTTCAAGTACTGCAGTGACCTATGAGTGGCCTCCTTGGGATTAATGACTCTGAGAAACAACTTGACAATGCTGGACACAACTGAAAATCAGGATATTAATATCCTCCCAGTGAGTTCTCATAGATCCAGGAATTGGTGGGGCTATGCCTGCAGGTCTATAGTTATTAGGGGCACCTGCAGGAGGCAGAGAACTCAGCCTCCCTTCCAAACAGAAAGGAAAAAAAAAAAAAAAAGAACCAACCAAAAAGGAGGAAAAAAATCTGTCTTCCAAGTCAAATTCAAGTGATGTATTTTTTTTACTGTGGACTCCCAGGGACTGAACACATAAGCGTATGTTTTATATGTGCACAGGAACATTTACAGTCTTCACAAGTAACACTGTTATATCACAGTGGAACCGTAAATGCCTATGCATTAAACACTGAATTTATCAACAGTTAATGATATTCTACTATATATTTTGAACCAAGTGCAAATTTTTTCAAATACATAGTAATAATCACATTATTAAAAAAAAAAAAAACTCACCTTCCATCTGGGTTTACAGTCCTTTGGCCTCCAGTGACCTCCTGGTTCAATATCCAAATCCTTAGAGAACAACTGGTGAACTTCATCAAAACTGACTTCACTTACATTGACACTGAGGAATCCCCCTAGAAGTCGAAATCATGAAAAATGATTTTAATATTTTTTTTGCCTCTAAGATGCACAAAGGACAAACAATGATCAGTAGGGTGATGGCATAATCTAGTTACTAACACAGTAAGGYCTACTACTGTTTTCACCACATAATTATTTCACCTTTCACTTTCAGCTGACAATTCATATGGCCACCCCAAAGAAARTAAAGTTCTTTATCTAACCTTTTGCTTTTAAGTAATATACTGGATATTTAATATTTTTTTWAAAAAATGTTTTCATGTTGTTATAGCATATTGTTGCAATTTAACAACCATTCAAGTGTTTTAGAACTATTTTTAGGTGTAGCCTTTTCAGCATAGGGGACACAAATGAAACAGTACTTGAGAGTTAAATAAGTAGTCAGATTGAGAGCTGAATCCCAGCTTCTACTGGGACAATAACTTAATATTTCTGCCTGGGCTTCTTCCTCTGTCAGGGAGTGCAGGGATGCCTGTCTCCCACTGTGGTTATATCCATTACGTTAAATACAGCTGGCCYTCTGTATCAGCCAGGTTTCACAGCCACAGATTCAACAATCTTAAATGTTTAAACATTCCAGGGGAAAAAAAAGAATTGCACCTGCACTGATCATGCACAGACTTTTTTCCCTTGTAATTATTCCCTAAACAATACAGCATGACAACCATCTACAGAGCATTTCCATTATTTTTGGTATGGTATGTAATCTTGTTTTGGGATATATAAAGAGGATGTGTGTACATTACAAGCAAATACTATACCATTTCTATAGAAGGATTTTCATATTTTGGATAGGGATGTTCCTGAAACCACTCCCCTCAGATACTGAGGGAGGACTGTGATCTGTGAGATCAAGTACAGTGCCAGGTAAAAATCAATAAATGTTAGCAACTGTCACAATTATCTACTGACATTTATTTTTTATTTTTTTGGTGCTGGGGATTTAATTCAGGGCCTCTTGCATGATAAACATATGCTCTACTACTGAGGTATACCCCTGCTACTGACATTTCTTAAGAGGAGATATTTGCAAATACCACTTATTTTGAGTATCAGTCCTCTTGGTCCCCAAAACTGAAAAACCAGGGACTTCTAGATGTTCCTGGTCTAACTAGTGCTCACTCACCAAATTAACAAATACATATTACTGGAGATGCTTTTCACTAATAGTGTTCTAATGTACCCCTTTGAAACAGGAATGAATCTTGATGGAAAAATTTTTTCCTTCCACTCAGTCAAAAACTGATACAGGAAGCTCTGTATCTTTGCCTGAGCATTAAAACAGCTGCATGATCACTATGCCCCTTCAAAGCAATACTGTCCATGGTGTTTCCAAAAGGCTAGGTAGGATAAAAACCACAGTAGTCTTTTTACAGCCAAACTGTTAATGCCCACGTAGGTACAAATTGCTCTAGAATTCCCTCTGGGCCAAATTCTTCCATCCAAGTTCCTCCTCTCATAAAATACAAACCAACCAATGTTGAGGTTTCCCATGTCAAGTCTTCTGAGCCTCTTGTGGCCATGGTTTCACATAAAAAACACTCAGTTCCTCTCCAGAGAGCCCCTTCCCTCCTGCTACCGTACATTCTACAATGTTTTTATAATGGCCTCTCTTTCCATTCCATTTCCTTCTGATTAGGCAGGACCATCAGTAGCACGGAGGCATGCCAGAGAGAAGTGATTTTAGTTGCAAACGCCTATGATTCCAAGAGTAAGCTCGGAAAAAAAATAACTGCAATCTGCTAATGTTTGCCTGTTCTGCTGACAAATTTACGGTCCTATATGAAATACCACCCTTGAGTGTAACAAGATATATACAAACTAGCTAATCTTGGAAAGGTCGAATTTACGTAATGGAATGAGACCTATGAACTTGKAAAGAAAGGGAAAGTTAAATATAAGAGTGATCAGTCAACACAAATACAGACTACCATGACTCAGCTGACAAAAACAGAATCTAGCACTGTAATCAAATAAAATTCACGCAAATAAATCTGATGCATTTAATAGTATGCATGATTGCTAAAATGATAGTGATTAGGCTAAATAATAAGCAGTTCATGTAAGTAACTGAAGCTGGCAATCTTTATGCACTGTTAATCCAAATTTTTTTTTCTTTTTTCCAGCTTTATTGCTTCAACAGCTGTAATCATCATTGTCAGCAGTTTTCTCCAGCATCATCTGCAGTTTAATCACCATCTTCAATGCACAGGCACTGCCAAATTGAGGGGCCTTTTATCTTTCTCCTCAACAGAGAGGGCTTCCTGTGTCCCTCGCTATTCCTGACGCCTGAGGTGCCTAAGTTCACCTTCCCTGTGACTGCCTCCCCATCCATACCCCTCAGAGTCTGACAGCAGTGTCTACAGGCTTGTTGYTCCTTGCTCTGAGCCCTCACATCCTGCTGGGTGGTCCTTCCAGTGGTAACAGCAACGTCACCACACTGGGGAGGAAGTGGGGGAAGAAAGCAGTCTTCCCAAGACAAGCACGGCCACCACTAGGTATTTAACTCAAGGGTTAAATAAGCAGTCAGATTGACTGGAAACTGAATCCCAGCTTCTACTGGGACAATTACTTAATCTTCCTCTGTCTTGGCTTCCTCCACTGTCCGAGGGCTGTGATGCCTGTCTCCCATGGTGGTTATATCCATACATGAAATACAGTTGGCCTTCTGTATCAGCAGCAACAACTCAAAGAGGAGATCCTATGCATGGCCAGGGAAGGGAAGAGGGTATGCTACAAGAGGGGGCCAAGAAGCAGCACTCAGCAGGTAAGCTAGTGGATATGTGCTATCCCCAAATTGCCTTCAGTAGAAAAAAATCTCTCCTGGGAAGTCTGTGAGGCTCGGGGAACGTAGGTCCCCCACCAAGGCCACTTTCACCTCTCTTACAGATTGGATATCCCCTCGGGTTGAAGTGTGTCAGTGCTTTACGAAAGCATTTGAAAGCAACTGCTGTGAATGAAGCAGGAGAACATACATCCTTCTTCAAGGTACTTGGAAAGAAAGCCACTTGCCTAGCCAGCCCCCTGATTTCACTAGCTGAGGTTTCAAGGGCAACTAAAGAGGGAGGATCTGCTGGGCTCCATAGGACTCCCTTCTCTCCCATCTTCACAGTCCACCTGTGCTAAATCTGACAGCTTCAGCCAGGAAGAAGTGCTTTCTTCCTTCCTTTGGAGATTTAAACTTCAAAAATAAATAAATATATTGACTGAAAGCTGTTTTACCTGGTAGTGTGACCAATCTGTAAATAATATAATTTACTGGACTAAATTTCACTATTTGGTGGTGCTGGGGTCAGAAAGGAAAGAGCACGAGAACTGAGAGTCTGGAGAGTCGGGGAGCTGCAGCCTCTCTGGAGGGTAAAGGTGAAGAACAGGGATTCCCACACAAGGTTAGGCAACCTGTTAGTCAGGTAGCCAAGCCAACCTGCTTTACTGCTGTTCCATGAGCAAATAATGTGCTATGCTACTGGTTATGTGGGAACATTTATTATTATAATTTCCTAATGCTGAATTTGTAAGACATGGAATGATAATGGCCCTGGGCCTGTTAGGTATACATGGGCCCAAGTGGCAGGCTTACTGAGGTGTGGATTAAAATGTGTCACATGACATGATTCAGGATTTTTCTATTAAAATATAATTCTTAAAATAACAAATCCTCAATACACAYCAATTGCCTATACTTTGTACATTTTCAAGTAAAATTTAAGGCATATAWCATGTAGGCAAAGAGTTCTTTTCTCTATAAATCAGCAGTTTTAAATGGCTTCTTCACTCAATCTAGGGCCTGTATTTTTTGTTATCAAAAGCCTAATTCTTTGGCCTCTGTCACTGTTTTGCCCTCAGGGTTTTAAATGTGCACAGCCCAAAGCTCTGGTGACAGCATGAAAGACCTGAATATCCCCCAGAAATGTCCCTTCAGATGAATTCCTCTCCAAAGTCAGAGCTGAATTTTTATGATAAGATGTCATGTTCCCTCCCCCATCTCTACGCTACCTCCTGGGTAGAGCTCTGAGGCTGAACAGTTATGAGTCATCCTGCCATTGGTCACCTACTGTACTCTTTGAAGCCAACATTAGCAACTATCTATTTCAAATGCTTTACTTATGCCTGTCCATTTCTAGAATTTTAAACTTCTGCTTAACAAATGATTTCTTACTCAACTATTCTTTAAATGACCAACCTCCAAGCATTCTAAACTTGAGACAGTGATGGCTTTAGTAACACAGGCTGTGCCAAGTGCAGGCCTGGGCACAGGTTGAGTGGGAACAGCAAAGCTGGCCATGTCCATTCCTTTCCAAACTCTACCCTCCTCCCTACATTTCTATTCCTTGTATCAGTTGCTAAAATATGTCTTTTAAGGCACTTGTGCAAAAGGTGTTCTATGTGTAGGTGACCCAAAATAACAGCCCCAAACTTCCCAGACTCTTGTCTCCTAACCTGACCACAGCACACAGTTCCTAACACCTGTTTTCCTCCCTTGCTTGTGGTTCTCCTTGATTTACTCTGAATGACTAACTGTTCCTTGGAGTCAATGGTCTTTGCTCTCTGTCTGCCTCACAATCTAACCAATGAGCCCTTGGTCCACTCCTAGAGGCCTCAAACCCTTCATTAAATGTATTCAAATTGTTTTCCTACTCTCTATAATAAAACTGACAATCTCCTTCAAAGTCATAATTCAGACTTCTACCCTGTCTCATTTCCGAGACACATCCGTTCATGTTTTAGCATGCTAACAAAGGGACATACCCTGTAATGTGTGCATGAAATGTGCTGCTTCGTTCTTGTTCCCAAATAGCTATTATAAAATTAATAACATGTCTTTCAAGAAAATACAGTTTATCATCGACTCCTACTGCCTTTCCAAATGTGTTTTTGAACCACTTAATTGCCAAGAAATTTCCATATGTTGCCCCTCAACGTTCCTTCTAGAATGCCCTCTCCAGTTCTTCATCTTAAGGATACCATATTCTTCCCTTTTAATGTGTGCTCA